TTGCAAAGTTGCCTTGTTATCACCGTACAATTCAACTGGTAGTATCACATCTGCTCCCAATTCTTTTAGCAATCCAATCAGCCAAACAGCTTCAGAAACAGCACTGGCCATGCTCCTGTACTCAGCTTCTGCTGAGCTTTTCGACACTGTGCTTTGTTTCTTGGACTTCCAAGAAACCAGTGATTCACCATACTTGATCAAAAAAATTGACACTGATCTTCTTGTGTTAGGACATGATGCCCAATCTGCATCACAAAACACAGAGATCTTATGCGATTTCTCACTGCTGAATAATACTCCTAGCCCTGGCTCCCTCTTTATGTACCTAGCAACCCTCATGGCTGTATTTCAATGAGATCTTTTTGGTTGTTGAAGGAACTGGCTGAGTGTTTGGACTGTATATGCTATATCTGGTCTTGTTAGTGTCAAATACAGCAATTTTCCTATTAGTCGTTGATACTGCCCCTTGTCTTCAAGTAGATTATCATCTTTGTTGCCTGTCAACTTATCATATTCTGGCACAGTAAGTTTCACATTGACTTCAAGAGGTGTCCAAGCTGGTTTAGCATCTCCAAGCCCCAACTTACTGATATGATTTCCTAAGGCGATATTTTCTTTTGTATTAAAACTAAGAAATAACCTTTAACCTTTGTAATCTGCTAAATTACCTACTTACCCTACGGAAAAAACTNATATCATCAACATAAACAAGAATAACTACTATATCACCTTGATGTTGTTTAATGAATAAAGAATGATCAAGACTGCTTTGTTTGAAACCTGACTGTAATAGAGCTTCTGTTAATTTCAGATTCCATTGTCTGCTGGTTTGCTTCAATCCATATAGGGATTTAACAAGTCTGCAAACTAATTGAGGTTTGCCAACTGTCTCCCCCTGACTTGAAAATCCCTGTGGCATCTCCATATAGACTTCATCATCTAAATCTCCTTACAAGAAGGCATTGTATACATCCATCTGTTGAATATGCCAATTGTGCATAGCAGCTAGTGAGAGCACAGTTCTGACAGTAGCAATCTTGACTGCGGGGGAAAATGTTTCATTATAGTCAAGTCCTTCCTTTTGACTATAGCCTTTGGCTACTAGTCGAGCTTTAAATCTTTCAATTGCTCCATCTGCTTTAAGCTTGACTTTGTATACCTATCGACACCCAATGGGGGTCTTCCTTGGTGGCAAAGAGACCAACTCCCAGGTGTTGTTAGCTTGTAGTGCTGCTAGCTCTGTCTGTATTGCCTCTATCCATCGAGCATCTTTGCATGCCTCATAAAAGGATGTAGGCTCAGATATTGCGGAAAAAACCCCTAAATATGCTTTGTGAGAGGAGGATATATGATCATATGTGAGATAATTGGCCATAGAGTGAGGTTTCTTAGCTGGCAGAGGCACTACATAGTCTGTCAACCACAATGGTTGTTTAGCCACTCTTCCAGATCTCCTTAAAGGTGTTGAAGTATCTGATGAATAGATGGAGGGTTCTTCAAAGATTTCATCCTCATTGGCTTGGGTGGAAGGACCAGGTAAGTCACTATGTGGTACTTGATTGTCCACAGAGGAACCATTGAGCAGATTTGTATCAATGGGCAGGAGATGAGATGGTACATTTGTTTCTTGCAAATCAGTATCTACAGAGGCTTGAGGCTGCAATGTCTCTGCTACAGAAGTAGGTATGTTAGAATTAATATCTGCAAACAAAAAAGGATTGTTAGAGAAACCACCTTCCTGACAGGAAGTTGGTAAAACAGGCCCCTCGATGTCCTTGAAAGGAAACACTCCTTTTTTGAAAACAACATCCCTATTGATAAAGAACTCCTTTTTCTCCAAATTGTATAAAAGGTATCCTTTGGTGACATTAGAGTACCCCATCATCACTGCTTTAACTGCCCTGGGACTAAATTTATCTTGTCTCGGCAAAACACTAGCAAAGCATAAACATCCTAAAGTTCTCAAGTGTAGCATACTTGGTCTTTTGCCATGAAACAACTCATAAGGTGATTTCCCTTATAGGACAACTGAAGGTAATCTATTGATAATATACACAGCTGCCAAAACACAATGTCGCCAAAATCTTAAAGGAATGTGTCCCTGAAACCTAATGGCCCTTGCCACTTCAAGAATGTGTCTATGCTTCCTCTCAGCTACTCCATTTTGCTGAGGAGTATAGACACATGTTCTTTGATGTACTATACCTAGTTCTCTTAACAGACTAGTGAAGTTATGATTCACAAACTCAGTCCCATTGTCCGACCTTACTGTTTTTACCATAATGCTGAATTGAGTGTGCACCATTTTAAAGAAACCTTTTAATACAATGAACACATCACTCTTGAATTTTAGCAAAAAAATCCAAGTCACACGAGAATAGTCATCCACTATTGTTAGAAAGTACTTATTACCATCAATAGTAGAAGTGTTATAAGGTCCCCAAACATCCAAATGTAGTAGCTGAAAAATTTCAGTGCTCTTACTGTCACTAGAATGAAAAGGTAGCCTTGTGTGTTTAGCTAAAGGACAAACATCACATTTATCTATTAAATCTCTACAATTTTCAATAGGCAATCCAAGAATCTCTCTCATAGCTCCTCCAGAAGCATGTGCTAGCCTTCTGTGCCACAAAGAAACATCAAGTCCTTTCTCCTGTGCACTTAGCCCTTTACTCACCTCTTCTCATTCATCAGCAGGTAAGAAAAGGTATAATCCATCTTTCTCTTTACCAATCCCCTTGATTCTCCCACTTAAGAGGTCCTGGAACAGGCAAAAATGAGGAAAGAATGTGACTGAGCAATGGAGGTCTCTAGTTACCTTAGAGACTGACATAAGGTTGTACTGAAAATCAGGCACAAACAACACATTCTTCACTATTTGTCCCTTAGAAATTATGCAATCACCTATGTGTGATACCAGATTTATTTGGCCATTAGGCATGTGTACCTTCCTACAACTCCAGGAATCAAGATTTTTAATATTCTGTAGCATACTTAAATCTGATATCATATGATTAGTTGCTCCTGTGTCTATTATCCATTCCTTTCTAACTGTGTTGGCCATAAAAGATTGCATCATACCTGCCATGTTAGCCATTGTGTTTTGTGGAACATCTTTGTTCAGCATCATCATGATCTGGCTGTATTGATCAGCTGTGAATTGTGGTGGTTTAGGAAGTTCAGTCATGTATCCCTTGTCTGTTGCTTCAATTCTTCCTCCACTGGACCCTACAACATTAGGATTACAATTCTCAGCACTTACATTGTAAGTAGTATTAGCACTTATAGCATTGGCTCCTGATCCTCTTTTCTTGTACTTAAAATCAGTAGGGTATCCTACTATTTTGTAGCATGTCTCCTTTGTGTGTCCTTTCATTTTGCAAAAATCACATTGCAAATTCCAATTCTTCCTAGATCTATGACTTTGTCCCTGAAAGTTTCCTTGAAAACTTCCTCCTTTTGTAGTCATGAAAGTTGTGGCTTCTGAATTCTCGCTCATCATAGACACATTAGAGACAGCTCTCTAGCTTTCTCTCTCAATGATCATCGCATATGCTTTGCTAACATTAGGTGTAGGATTTGTCATAAGAATATGACTTCGCGCCTGTTCATAGTTCTCATTAAGCCCCATTAAAAACTGCATTAGCTTCTGTTTGTGAAGATGTTCAACAAATTCACTATCACGACAAGCTGGAATCATACTCTCATATTCATCCCAAAGCTCTTTAAGCTTAGTAAAATATGTCGACACACTATTAGTTCCTTGACATAAAGTTGCAATCTCTTTGTGCAATTGATAAATCCTAGATGCATTGATTTTATCAAAACGCTCCTTTAAATCTTCCCAAACTCGACATGCATCCTTAGCATATACTACTCCCGTTATTAACTCCTTCGACACAGAACTCATAATCCACCCCAAAACTATTGCATTACATCTGTCCCATTGATGACCTAGATTCTCTCCGACATCTTCTCTCTTCAGTGTACGTCAATTAGCCCTAACTTGTTTTTACCTAACAGTTGGATTCTCATTGCACTGCTCCAAATCGAGTAATTGTCTGATCCGGTCAGTTGAATTGACACAATCGGAGCTCATGTTGTGTCTGAGGGATGCAGATACAGTGCATGGTTGTGATCGAGTACTGTGTTCGCCATTGATGGAGGAGAAACAGAGAAAACAGAGATTCTTCTCAATCGATAGATTCAATTACTGGATCTACAATTTCAGCTCACAATCGTGGCATAATTGCTCTGATACCATATTGAACTATGGTTGAATGTGATCTCAACCCTAGATCTAAGAATGGAGGTAAGAGAGAAATGAAGAAGGAAGGAGAGAGCTTCGATATATTCAGAGAAGAAGAAATGAAATCGTTAGTTAACACTGTACAATAAGTGCCCTTATTTATATGTCTAACTAATCTCACTAATGACCCACTTAACTAATGATATTTACAAAAAGTCCACTACTAATTAAGTAACTCCTATTTCCATATTGCAGAATCTTTATGCATTGTTGTAGAGGTTTCCAGTAGTTGATCTCAGATGCTATTTGGTGGGAAATAAATCTAAGGTACTTTGAGGGGAAATGGAGAATGTAATTAGCCTTTAAAAGAGATGCTTTGTTTGTTGTTGCTAACTTTGTGGTGTAGCATGGCTGATATCGATTCCATGCTAAATTTCCTGAATTCTGTAAGCAACCTGTAATCAAAATGTGTTTTACGTGTAACTATCCTCCACCATCATTCACTTAGTGCTTGAGCATTTTCATTATGATCTGTTATTTCTCATAAGTTTCCGGTACTTGACTTTTATTTTGTAACAAAGGTTTGCTTGTTTGCTTTAAAAAGAAGCTTGTTTCCCTGATGGTTTAATCTTTTTTGGTCTTATTTTTTCTTGTTTTTTTTTTTGTGTTTTTTTCCTTAATTTACTGAGAAGAGGGAGTATTTATTTGGAAAATTGTCTGTCTCCTGTAGGTTTTAACTCAACGGAAGAAGATGCATCCACCTTTGACTCTACATAGGCACCCTTTATGTGCTGATGTAAGTTCCTCATGACGTTAAATTGGAATCAGCAATCAATCATCTTGTGCTTTTGAAGCACCAATTGCTCAATTTATTATGTCAATTTGTGGTCCAACACTTGATGGGGTGTTTTTATTCCCTTCTCTTTTTCCCTTTGTTCTTTTGTGAATAGCCATTTTACTTCTTAGCACTGCATTTTGCAGGTTTTGTAGGTAAAGTTCTAATATAGCATCTGTGTTAAGGAAATTAGTGTTTATAAGATGTATATACATTCCTTGTGGAAAATTGATTTTAATGGTTGTTTCTTTGCATGTGGTTATTCGCATTGACATGACATGTAGTCTTGACGTCATGATGTAGATCATAATTGCTGATTAGTTCAAGGTTTATGTGGTGCAGATTATAGAGGAGTTCCAGAAGTGTCACACAGACCACCCACTAGGAAAATTCCTTGGGCAATGCACGGATCTGAAAATAAAGCTTGACCGGTGCTTCAGGCAAGAGGTAAGGTTTCTTGCTTTACCTGTAAGCAAAATTGTAATGATTTTGAAAATTCATCGCTAATGTTCCCCGTGTATGAGCCGATAAAAGAGATAAGACGTCCTTTTGCAGAAAGCTATAAAGAGAAAAGCAAATTTTGAACAGAGCAAGAAGTTGAAGGAGAGGCTCCAGGCTTACAGGAAGGAAACTGCTGGCATGCAATCTTGACGCTGATAGGAGGTTTGTTTTTGAGACACTGTTATGCATTTCAACTCATGAACGGAAGTTTGGCGGCTGGGCTTGATTGAAGAAAGATTCGTGAATAGAATTGTCGCTTGTCTATTCTGATGTTTTCTTCGATCTCCAGTATTTAGATCAGTTGAAGTGAAATAATATGTATAGACACAAGAACTGATTAATTATAAGAGCAATGTATCCGACCATTCCATTTGGGCGGAGGTGGATCTGGGATTTGAACTCTATAGGTTTGAGTTCGGAATTTTACCACAACTCATTTGATTTACTAGGTTCGAAATCTATTATTTGTGCTTGTTTAGTGAACTTTTCAACACGTGTAAAGGGTCTGAGCCAAAACTATTGGGTTTAGATGAATTCATATCATATACACCATCATTGTATCTGGGTGCCCGGGAAATGTCAAAATAAAGTTAAAATATTATGGTATAGCCAGTTTTCACATTGGTCAATGAAAAATAGCCAGCGTTTATCAAGTCAATGAAAAATAGCCACTATTTTGCTGCAACAGGGACCGATCCAGTATAATATACGAGAGTTCTGGTGCATTTGTGTACGAACTCCAGCATATTATGCTGGACCGGTATACTTTGCTAACTCCTGTAAAATTTACGGGAGACTGGAGCACCAGTGCTCCAAACTCCAGTATATTATACTGGACAATTATACTTGCTGGAACTCCCGTAAAATTTGCGGGAGTTCCAGCATAATTATGCTTGAACTCCCGTAAAATTTACGGGAGTTCAAGCATACTTATGCTGGAACTCCCGTAAAATTTGCGGGCGCATTTTTCCGGATTTTGAACAGTGTTTTCGCTCAGATTTAAAGTGGCTAAATTTCGATGACTTTTGAAACTTGGCTATTTTTCAACGACCAGTGGTAAATCAGGCTATTTTTGAATTTCTCCCCAAAATAAAAGTACTGAATTGATTGTGTGTACTGACAGAAGTGCACTAATTTGGTCCTTTTGAGTTTTATCTAACATTTCTATTATCTGTTTTTGAGTTTTGGAACGACAGTAATATGGGGAAAGAAAAAGCAAATGCGAAGGAAAAAGCTGTGCATAAGTCAATATTTTCCTCTATTCCTGGATTATGATGAACAAGTCCACTGTAAATAAATTAGTCTACTGAAATTTGTAATTTCTTTGGAATTTTGGAGCCTTGAGTGCATACTCAAAACTCTAAATTAGTGTGGAGGACCAGTTGGACGAACAATTGCCATAATTTGTTCCACAAAAAGGTATTTTGAATTTTCATAGTTTTGGTAGGATGACCAATGTGGTCTTAAATGGACTGTTGTTGTAAGTTAAATGTAAGTAGTACTCCGTCTGTACCTAGGAAAATGAAAATGTGAGTAGTATTCTTCCTGTTGAAAGGGGCGGGGGGGGGGGGGGGGGGATGTAAATGGGAGAAAAAAGAAAAGCTCTAAAATAGGAAGGAGGAAAAAATGATCGTACTCTTAAGAGAAATGATTGTATTCCTTGGGTAATATGAAGCGAAATGTTCAGACTTCCAGTTTTGTTCCCTTTTAGAAGTTAACTGCTGGTAGTAAATAAGCAACCCGTATTAGGGGCGAATTGGGTTCGGCCTTTAAGATTTTAGCATTTATCAAAATTGTAATTTTAAAATTATGGTTTTTATCTACTATTTGTTACAGTTTAAGTGAATGTTTACACCTAAAATTATGTTATGCATCGAAAGTACTGGATTCAGATGAGTTCGGTGCTGCCTCTGCCTCTGACCAATATTAATTCCTGGACTCTTGCTTTGATATAAAAACAAATAAAAGATGCCAAAATGGCAACATATACTTAAGAGAGTCACCCTCTACGTACAAAAATCAAAGGGCACCTAATAGCAAGCACCATATATTGGACAGAGTTGTGGCCTGTGGGTCTCCTAATTGGTTACTCTAATATTTTTTTTAATTCAAATTTTATTTAAGGATGCTTTAGCATATTTACCCTTGTCCAATTGATACAATTTGACATGATGTAAAACAAATATGAAATCCGTAACCCATCATTTCAAGAATATAATGAATTCAATAATAAGAATATAATTTTTAACTCGTGTTTAAATTTTGGATCCATTCTATCTTGACGTGCTATCGACCAAAACTTTGTTGCCTCCATAAATAAATTTTTCTTTTTACCCACTCCATAAGCTGACATACCGAGGTAAAAATTTACTTCCTCCTTTTACCTCTCCAATGGGGTTAAGAAAAACTCTTCTGACATGTTAAGTAGAACAAGAAGAAAGTATTAGGAACTAACTTATCTCAATTACTTATTAAGTAGATTAGTAGAGGTTTGAAGATTAGCAATAATGAATCTGAGTTGATTCAGTCTTCCTATTCGTTTTATATTCTTTAAAATAACAGAAAAGGGGGCTCTTTTTGTTGAGATTATTGATATACATTGTTTTGTACACCATGTATTACATTGTATTTATTCTTTCATTTCTTTTATTCTTCTTACTTGTACGGTGCTTACATCAGATGTTAGTAGGTGTTAGTTGATATTAGGTATTAGTTGGGTACTATAAATAGGATATTAATTGTATATTTTCATTTGAGTTGTAAATAATGAAAATCAGCTCCCCTTTCTAGAAACTTCATTTGTGCTCTCTCTCTCTCTCTCTTTTGCACGATCTGTATTTCCTCCATTAGAGCTCACACTGAGCTCATGTCTCTTTTCCTCGATTACCTCTGAATTTTACATGGTATCAGAGCCCAGACATAAGCTTTAGAGTCTCGCAGTCTTATATTTTGTTCTTCTACTCATACGATCAGAAATTGATTGTTGATTTTGGGAATTAGGGTTTCTGTATAGAAATCGATCAATTAGTCGATTAATCTTAGTGATTCATCTTCGCTACTAACGATTTCATCTCAGCTGAGCTAAATCATGGCCGGAGAGGACGAAATTCCGGTGATGGATAAAACAACCCTAGATTCAACAAGTCTGTTGTACATGCATCCATCGGAAAGAGCTGGACCTATGTTAGTTCCGGTAGCCTATGACGGAACTGGTTATAGATCATGGAGAAGAGGAATCCTCAGCACTCTCCGTGAATAATAAACTAGGCTTCATCACCGAAAAATGTAAGAAACCAGATCCTGATTCTGTTAACCTCGACCAATGGGAGCGATGCAACGATATGGTGACTTCGTGGATCTTAAGCTCATTGTCTAAGGACCTAGCGGACAACTTGCAATACGTTAATGACGCTAGAGAACTTTGGCAGGAGTTGGAGGACAGGTATGATCAAACTAATGGTGCTAAGTTGTATCAGCTCCAAAAGGAAATAAATGATTTGAGCCAGGGGAATTTGGACATTACTGGATATTATACAAAGATGAAGAAACTCTGGGAGGAGCTCAACACGCTGAACATACATGCTAAATGTGCTTGCAAATGCACATGTGGAGCAAGAGAAAACATGCACAAAGCTGAACAGGACAGAAGACTGATTCAGTTTCTGATGGGGCTTAACGAAGTGTATACTGTGGTGAGAGGAAGTATTTTAATGATGAATCCTCTTCCAACAATAGCCCAAGCTTTCTCCAATCTCATTCAAGAGGAGAAACAAAGGGAAGTCAAGCCAAGTAACCATTTTTCAATGGATTCTGCTGCCTTGAATGCAAGTGGACCAGGAAATAACAACTTCAGAACAAACTATACTCAACAGCGGAACAATAACACAAACAGTGGATATAAGGGGAATCAGCTCAATAATAGACCTAGGCTATTCTGTGACTACTGCAAGGGGCCAGGATACACTAAAGAGAAGTATTACAAGCTTCATGAATTTTCACAGAGTTTCAAGTTCAATAAAGGAAGAAGAATTAGAGGAAATGTATTTGGGTCATCAAGTGAGGGTGCTGTAATGAAGGATGATGGAAATGGCTCTCAGGATCAGGAACAGGGTCGAACTATGCACAGTCTGACCAAAGAACAATATGGACAACTACTCTGCATCCTGGAAAGTTTTCAGGGAGGAGGAGACAAATCCACAAGCACTACAATCAATGGAGGAGCTGAGAACTTTGCAGGTATCTCAGCATGCTCTACTCATTTTGATTCTAATGATCATTTGTGTGATAGTTCTAGTCCAAATGATGACTCTTGGATTCTTGACTCTGGAGCCACAAATCATATGACATATAATAAATTACTGCTAACCAATATCAAAATTTTAGTTTACCCATACTTAGTCAGCCTACCAAATGGCTACAAAGTTAAGGTGACACTGATTGGTGATGTAGTTCTAAGTCCTAAATTCAGCCTCAAGAAGGTCCTTTTTGTTCCTAGTTTCAAGTTCAATTTGATATCAGTCCATTCTCTTATAGTTCAACTTGATTGTATTGTAGTATTTACCAAATATGTTTGTATTCTTCTACAGGGCCCTTCACTGAAGAGGCCACTGGAGATTGGTAAGGCCAAGACTGGCATGTACCTATATTGTTCAAGCAACCACAACAATGGTTCAACTTCCTCTAATTCTTCTAGTACATTCCATCCATGTCTTACTAGTAATAAAGATGAGGTACATTCTGCAGTCAACACATCTAGCTCATTTTCTTCTTCTCAATTAGCTAACACAAATAAACTAGTTGCTACTATTCCTGTTGCATCCACCATGATTACCTCATCTCATAGTAGTGATAGAAGTAGCTCTCTTCCACATTCACATCATTCTGTAAATAGTTCAAGCAATAAAAGTGACTCTTGTTTGTCCAATGTTCCCTCTACTACAGAACATTTACTTGATCGTTTGTGGCATAACAGATTAGGACATGTGCCTTTTGTTAAAATAAAAGGGATTTCCTCTATACCTGTCAATTTTGCACCCAAACAGCCTTTTCTTTGTCCCATTTGTCAAATGGCAAGACAAACCAGACTACCTTTCCCAGAAAGAACAACACTGACCACTAAGATTTTTGAATTACTACACATTGACTTGTGGGGTCCATATCATGTTACAATACATAACAAATATAAATACTTCATCACCCTTGTGGATGATTACAGCATGTCCACATGGACTCACTTATTAAGCTGTAAGAGCAATGCCCTACACACTATCAAGGCTTTTTCTGCCATGGTAGAAAACCAATTCAACACTAATATCAAGACCATAAAAACTGATAATGGTCTTGAGTTCACCAGCCTTGAAGCCACTTTATTTTTTTCAATCAAAGGGCATTATACATCAAAAAATATGTCCATATACACCACAACAAAATGATGTGGTGGAAAGAAAACATAAATACCTATTAGAAACAGCCAGGGCACTCTTGTATCGGTCAAAATTGCCCATGCAATATTGGGGAGAGTGCATACTGACATCTACCTATCTAATAAATAGACTACCCTCTTCATCACTCAAAATCAAATGTCCATTTGAACTACTGTACCTAAAGAAACCAAGTTACTCTCATCTCAGAAGTTTTGGCTGTTTATGCTTTCCTACCACTCTCAAAACACACAAAGATAAGTTTGAACCAAGATCTACTCCCCATGTTTTTGTGGGATATCCTTTTGGGACAAAAGGCTATAAGGTACTAAATCTGGCCACTAAGAAGATAAGTGTTTCAAGAGATATAGTGTTCTATGAAAGTGTATTTCCATTGCTCTGTCCACTAGTTCAAGTAAGGTATTCCCTTCATTTCCTCAAATGAAGTCACATCTATCAGATGAATTCTTTCCTTCCAATGATATAGGGAGTATTCCACGCTTAGTGAATGAAAATCACCATGAAGTGTCACTAGGGAACTTGACTAGGAGTGAGCCATTGTCTGAATCAGACCAGATTTCACCTCAACCTACTTCCTTTGATGATGACTCCAGATTATCTCAGTCACCCTTGGGCAGCCAGACATCAGGAACCTTTCTTGTTACTGACAGTCCAAGTGAAGTTTTCCTGCTGCTCCTCACAATCCAAATGTTATAACTCAAGATCAAAGCATTTCAGTCTTAAATCAGAATATAGCTTCAAGAACTTTGAAAATTCCTACTTATCTTAAAGACTATGAGTGTGTAATTCCCAAACTTCAGCACACTCATCAGAACCAATCATCCTCTCCAAATGATAGCCAAAATACACAGTCTTTTTCCTTCAGCACCTCTGTACCCAAGCCTCATGACAATTTACTTAATGCTTTAAATTCCACTAGTCAGCATTTGATGGGAACTGCCTCACATGAATGTGAACCTAGTTCATATGAGGAAGCTGCTGTGAAGCCTGCCTGGCAAGCAGCAATGAATCAAGAATTCCAAGAATTTTATGCAAATAAAACTTGGGACTTAGTTCCCCTTCCAATTGGAAAGAAAGCAATATGGTGTAAATAGGTGTGTAAAATCAAGCATAAGGCAGATGGTAGCATAGAAAGGTTTAAGGCAAGACTAGTGGTTAAGGGATATACACAACAAGCTGGGATAGATTACACAGAAACCTTTCTCACCTGTAGTAAAAATGACAACTGTAAGGGCTTTAATAGCAACAACAGTCAAGAAGGGTTGGCAGGTTCTACAATTAGATGTTAATAGTGCATTCCTTCATGGAGACCTCCATGAAGGCCTAGTTGTGGAGGCACCAGGTTTAGTGTGCAAATTAAATAAGTCCCTATATGGACTCAAACAAGCAAGTAGACAGTGTGAGAAACTAACTGAAGCATTATGCTCTAGGGGATACACTCACTCAATGCTTGATTATTCTTTGTTCTATAAGAAAACTGAAGGCTTAGTAGTATTTGTAGCTGTGTATGTAGATGATGTTCTTGTCACTGGCACCCATCTACAAGATATTGAGTCTTTGAAAACCATTCTACATAATACCTTTAAGATAAAAGACCTAAGGAAGCTTCATTACTTTCTAGGTTTAGAAGTTCAATACACAGAAAAAGGAGTTTTGATGTCACAAAGGAAATCCACTATGGATCTTTTGAAAGAGTTTGGGTGTACAGACTGTCCTCCTATGACTTCCCCTCTAGATTCCTCTATGAAGTTAAAGGCTGATGAGGGAGCTCTGGCAGATCCTTCCTATTATAGGAAGTTGATTGGAAAGCTCAACTTCCTCACTAACACTAGGCTAGATATTGCCTACGGTGTACAACATCTTAGTCAATTCATGCAAAGTCCAAGAGAACCTCATTTGAAGGCAGCATACCATGTCTTAAGGTACTTGAAAGGTGATCCATCCTTGGGTATTTTGCTTAGCAATGATGCAGATTATAGAGTGAAGGCTTTTTGTGACTCAGATTGGGCCACTTGTCCCCAGTCCAGAAAATCAGTTAGTGGGTACATAGTGTTACTTGGTGGCAGCCCTATTAGTTGGAAATCTAAGAAGCAGTCCACTATTTTCCTATCCTCTGCAGAAGCTGAATACAGATCAGCTAGGATGGTTGTTGGTGAAATTGTATGGCTGGCTAGACTTCTTACTGAACTCACTGTTCCCCTAGCCTTGCCTATTCCCATATTATGTGACAGTAAAGTTGCCTTACATATAGCAAGGAATCCTATGTTCCATGAACGTACGAAGCATATTGAAGTGGATTGCCATTTTGTGCGAGACCAGCTGCAGGAAGGGTTGATTTCCCTTCACCATGTCTCTACTAATGATCAATTAGCTGACATTTTCACCAAGTCTCTAACAGGAATCAAGCATTCTACACTTCTTGGCAAGTTGGAAGTGAGCTCCTCACCTCCAACTTGAGGGGGTGTGTTGAGAGTATTCATATACACCATGTATTACATTGTCTTTATTCTTTCATTTCTTTTATTATTCTTACTTGTACAGTGCTTACATCAGATGTTAGTAAGGTGTTAGTTGATATTAGGTATTAGTTTGGGTACTATAAATAGGACATTAATTGTATATTTTTATTTGAGTTGTAAATAATGAAAATCGGCTCTCCATTCTAGAAACTTCATTTGTGCGCTCTCTCTCTCTCTCTCTCTCTCTCTCTTACACGATCTGTATTTTCGCCATTAGAGCTCACACCGAACTCATGTCTCTTTTCCTCGATTACCTCTGAATTTCACACTTTTACCAATCAAACTTCATAAAAAGAACCGTTTGAAATAGTTGAAGCACATTTAAAGTCATTCGGGGACATCAACTGGATTAAATACGAGTACATTTTAAGAAATATTGATTAATAAACTCGCAAATTTTTTACGATTATATCATTTTCAATGTTTGATATTTCGTGTTTGATATGGTATATATTGTCCCCGAAGAATAAGATAATCTCCAATTATTATTTGTCCCTCTTGAGTATGAAAGTAAATATTTTTCAGGAGAGTGATAAGTGTAAGAGAGTATGAATTAGACGTATGTTATGGTTTTTTCAAATAAACATTTACTAATATTTAAATGAAAAAGAATATAAAATTTAATATTTAAGCAGAGAATAATATAAGGACAATGTCATTATTCCGCCAAGTTTCGATTTTTTAGTAGTGAGCTACTTACACTAAATGATTTCTCAATATATAAAAGGATAAGAAAGTAAATATGAATAGAAAATGCTAAATGATTAACTAGTGACTTGATTGGAGCAGAGTTCCAAACGGGGAACATTTTATCTTGATCAAACCGAGGAAATTGTAATTATAGGCGTAATCTATCTATCTACATCTATACACACTATACTGAAGGCACTAAATGTCGTTCACCCTTTTTTATCCTCCACGAGTGCACTCTATACTGGATAAAATTGTAGATACAAGTTAATGACTTTTTAAAAAAAGGAAAATTAGGAAGAAGAGAAGAAGTAGGACACTCCTTTAATTATTATCCCTAATAATCTAACACAGAGTGTAAAGTCAAAATCTTCATAGGTTAAAAACTAAAAAGAATTAGACAATAAGTAGGAGACCCATTATTTATTAGCATTATTTAATATCTATCCTAATAATCTAACGAAGGGTGTAAAGTCAAAATCTTCGTAGGTTAAAAACGGAGAAAAAATTAGACAATAAGTAGGAGAACCATTATTTAATATCCTATTAAAGAGATCAAATTTTCTGTAGTTAAAAAAAAAATTGACTTTCTAATTTTTAGATTGTTCCGATAGTTTTTTCATAATAAATGTCTTCAAAATTTTTGTAGTGCCAAAAGTTCTTGTGATCTTTTACGTAGCGATCGAGCTATTAATTCAAGTCTGTAATTACAGTTGAATAATATTATTGTAGTTTCTTATAAGTATTATATTATACTAGTGATGTTATGTCCGGGCTTAGCCCGGGCCCAATGACTATTTATATACAGTCAGACATCTCTATAACAGTATCCTTATATAACAATCATTCACCATAAAAGCTAAATTTTTGTCGAATCGATTTTTATGTTATAATATATGTTATAATCGATGTTATGTTATAATATATGTACTCTATAACAAAAATACCGAAACAAATGAGACTGTTATAGAGGGGATTGATTGTATGAGCAATCCTCCCAGAGTCCCCATACCCAGCATTTTTATATATACCCACTGTTGGGATCACCGTTGAAGTTATACCTGCATTGCCCAAAAATTTCAAAGTATACCCGCTCAGATCCGAAGTAGTTCAATCTCTTCAATGCAACTTCAGAAATCAAATATGAAGTTCTTCTATTTTTCAGATGCAACTTCAGAAATTCGAATCTTAAGAGGTTCAATCTCTTCAATGCAACTTCAGAAATCAAATTTGAAGTACTTTTATCTTTCAAATGCAACTTCAGTAACTTGAATCTTAAGTAGTTCAATCTATTGAATGCAAATTTAGATATCGAATCTTAAGTTCTGAAGCATAAATTTGTTCTTCGATTTTCAATAATCTAGTACACGATTCAATGCCAAAATCTACTCCAAATGAGCTTAAATTTGAAATCACTTTCAAATATCATAAAGAACAAATCCCAATCATCAAATTGTCAACGACAACAAATTTAACAAACTCACTTTGCAACTAAAAAGAAGAAGAAGAAGAAACTTTAAGCACAAAGAAGAAGAAAACAACATCAAAGAAGAATGAGAAAAGTTTATATATTTGAAGTTATCCAAAAACTGTGAATCAGTTAAAAAATTTCAAAAAAAATGAATACAAATTCAATGGGCGGTGTAAAATTAGGTGCCACATGAAAATTTTACCCTCTACGTTACCCGAGTTCCTGTTTTTTGTATTTTAGTTGTGGTAATCTGATTTTAAGTATAATATTAAGCAATATGTTATTGAAATTTCCCGAAACACTAATTATCATATCTTATTGGTCTAGAAAAAGCATCTGCGTGAAAAATAGAATTACATATGTCCTTATTTCTGAAGTATCGAACTTCATTTTTTATGTATTATAAATTTTTAAAAGTAATTTAATTTAAAAAATTAAAGTATAATAATAAAATTTCTCAAGCCGAAGAACTAATTTTTAAAAAAATATCCTTATAAAAAATTTCTTTGTCTCATTATATGCCTTAAATATGGGTTAGAGAGTAAAACGATATTATTGGAAACTAAATAGTGATTAACTGTACCTCAATTTTTTCCAAAATTTATAAAACTAATTAATTCTTATTTGTAAGCAACTGCAATATTCTTGAGCATTGTAGTAAACTACCATTTTGTAATGTAGTTGGCATCTATAACAAGGTTATAATTTTATTTCATAAGTTGTGGATTACTCTATATGCAATGATTTATATTTTATGTAATTAAAATAATGACCATTTAAAAAGCTAATCACATAAAAATGTCCAAACCAAGAAAATATTTTTAAAATTTTTATGTAAGATCTCAACAGAAAATTTCAAGTTAAGTTACATATACTGAACTTAAACTAAATCGAACAATCTCTTAAATTAAATAATTATGGCATGGATAAAATTACACTCAATAGTCATTAAAGTAGCTTTAGCCATGTGGATATCAAATAGACAATAAAGTACAAATTAATACTATACGTGATGAGAATATTAATGGACCCCACATTATTAAATGTTGTGCCTGACAAATTTCGGGGGAAGTGCACGGATAGCCACTAATAACATATGTATTTACTTTTAAGCCATTGTTTAATATGTCTTTAGTCTTTAGCCAATGCTTAATAAACTTTAACTGCCCGGACGAAAATACCCTTCTGCTCATGTCCTTAACTTTTGAACTTAACTTTAGGACTTCAGGACTACATGTCCTTAACTTTTGAACTTGGAACTCTAAGTTCAGGACTTCAGGACTATGTGTCCTTAACTTTTGAACTTGTAACTGTAAGTTTAGGACCAAGTGTCCTTAACTTTTGAGCTTGTTAGTCTAAGTTCAGGACTTCAGGACCTATTGTCATTAACTTTTGAACTTGTAACTATAAGTTCAGTACCTATTGTCCTTAACTTTTGAGCTTGTCAGCCTAAGTTTAGGACCAACTATCCTTAACTTTTGAACTTGTAAAAGACGAGGGGGACAAAAGGCTGCTGCAATTACGAAAGGCAATTCATGTACCCAATCTGTCATCGCATGCAGACATGCTACACCAACGAAGCTGCTTAACGACGTAGCCGTCTCGTTTCCTTGGCATGTAATTTTATAAGTACTAACTTTCTATTATAAGAAGCGCTAGTACTGGTAACATTCTCATAGCAAGGAAACATCCTGTGTGCTAAGAAGGGATCACGTTTCAAGCTCAAGCATGGGAACTCTTAATAATTTTTTAAGTGATATTTGCCTTCTAAAACAAAAACATATATATACCTCCTTCTGATACTTGGAATGGAGCTCCTGTAACATTGACAATTCACGAGTAACTGGCCGCAAAAAGGGATTTTTTCCTTACAGTCGGCGACAAAGTTTTCTCCCTAACACATGAAAGAGATAGAAGAAAGGGTAACACAGTCTTTTTATATTAATTTTAATAGACTAGTGGCTACTATTGCTAAGCATTAAAAATATTGGATAAAGAGTAAATACCACTTTAAAAAGTGACTACCCCGTACAATTTTTACACAAATTTCCAATATGGAATGACATATGCAATACGATGAAACAAAACATTATAAAATGACAAAAATGCCTTTGTGATGAAGCAGGCATGTTGACCATCAGCTCCTTGCTTATCCTCACTTATATAATAGTAATAGATTATGAACATATTCTATATATTACATCTATTTCTTGTGAACATGTAATTTATTATTTTGAGAAAAATTTCTAACGAGAAAAAATTACAAAAAATTAGAAACATAAGACTTAAATATTTATGACTAATCAAAATTCATATAGAAAGATATGACAAATTACAATTGATATTGTGCATGGCTAAAAACTACCGAGAGGATGAAAGTGGCCTCATTCTAGGAGATGCTAAGAATATGAATATCACTAAAAAATTATAATTTTGGAATATAAATTCTGTTAATTGCTACAGACTTAAAATATGTCGTGGCACCTTAATGCTATATAATAATTTTTCCAACTAAATATAAGATTTAATCTCATTGATAGTGTTTGGCACTTGTCTTTCCAACATAGAATCCGTTTGGCCAAATTCTTAAAATTTATTTATTTATAGTTATTTTACAATTTCTATAGTATTCTTATTAATTAAAAAAAATAGAATGATCATAGAACTTCTATTATCATTATTTCTTCATTTATCGAGTTGCTAAATTAGATCAACAATCGTCATTTTTAGAAACTCGTATTTTTTAAAATAATTTTGTAACTCAAATATAATTAGTT